ATAAGTAATATGTTTTTTTTAAATATGTTACAACTTAAATAATGGTGGATCATTAACATCTACTTGCTGTTCAAATTGTTGGTTATCACATTTATTTTGCTGCCAACACATTTACTCACACATGTAGCTGAGCGACATACTACAACATGCTGTATGCTGTATAGTCCACCATATGCCTGTCCTGGGGGAGGTTTTGTAAGGCTTCTGGAGATCTCTTTCTACTAATGTAGCAGAAATACCATCTAAACAGAGCCTGTACTGAATATTCTTTGAAACTTGAAATGTCTGAAAGATGGTGAAAATGAATAGTTGTGGTCATGATCATATGATTAAATCACTGAAGATGTTTGTTGTAGTATGTTGACAGGTGGAGGATCATAAAGCAAAAGTTGCAGGCTTTCATCTTTGAACAACAAGTTATTCAGTATTTGTCCTACTAACTGATGTGCACAAAATGTTTATACCCACTCTGTTTGTAACATTATCAAGAAGAAACCCAAGATGACCTAGTCTACTTGTCCAGGGGGTTTAATGATGCATGACACATTGAAAATTGTAAAATGTTTTTAAACACCTCAGCTCACTGTGTAACTATATGAGAAGACAAGGTTTGCTCTTGCAAGTGTTAGCAAGGTTGTGCCAAATACCTCTGCTCACTATAGCCAGAGAGAAATGCTATCTTTTTAGCATGGGTCACATTCAACAAGTGCCCAGGCTGTCACTGAGTGTACACTTGTCACTGGATACCACAGCTTCCAAATGCCACTAGGCAGAACCTCCTTAGTATGAGTGTGATCTTTGCAGATATATGTACATTCTTAACTTTTATTAAACAAATAACACAGATGAAGGAATGTGTATTTTGTTTTGTTGAATTGTGATTTAATCTGAAGTGGTGCAAGGGGAAGTTGACTCACTGAGAGGCACCAGCATTTATAAAAGGGTTCAAGAAATGAGAGTGGCTGTGGAGGGGGGATATAGGCAGTATATATGTTGGCCAGTTTACTAAATTTGGTCATAGCCCACAATTTCACATAAAGGGTTATGGTCAGATCTGGTTGCATGGCATATTGGGACTTATAGTAGGGTTGAATTGTACATAGTTATTGAATCCCACAGCCTGTAGAAGTTAAATGGAAAGTTTGGTACCTTAAGTTTGTTGGTGAAGCTAAAGAAGCTAATCGAAAGAAGCAAAGCTGGTGTCTTTTAATTAACAATGGTTGTTACTGAAAAGTAAGGATGAACTTATTTAATGGCTATATAGTACCTTGAGAGACTAGGTATGTAAACGGAAACAAGCAAGAAACAAAGAAATGAATGTTGTTTTCAGTGGTGGAATCTTTGGGGAGATACTTTTGTTATTTTTTACAGTTTCACTCTTAAAGCTTTGTCTTGTTGTTTTCATAATATTATGGCAAAGAAGAATGTAGAGTGTGGATATAGTATTTGTTAAGGGGTAAAATATGATAAATACATGTTTCTGAATGTAGATTGATTAAATAATAAGAGTGAAAATGTTTGTTATTAATGCTGAGTAGAAGTTTATACTAACTAGGAGATAAGACATTTTTAGAGGAATAAAATTAGACTTGAAAGTGCGCCACTTGTCGGACATGTCTGATTTTACACTGCCCCCTGTTGCTGACTGTGTAATCCTGCACTTTTCTTTTAATGTACTGTATACACATGCATGGAATCAATTTATAAGTGAGTAGTGCAATAATTGTAACTTTACATTACTTTAATAAAAAATATATGTTTAACTAGACTCAAAGGCTAAAATTGATTTTCAGCCTGTTTTACAGGAGACAATACACACACACACACACACACACACATACACTTCTTAGTAAGTATTAGAAGCATATTTGGTAATTATTTTTGTTACAGTGTGGCCTGAATGAACATACATCACTCAGATTTTAGCTGATAGATATTTGACCAAAGATTAATTGCAGTGTTAGTGACAAATTCTGAGGGTTGTTTCATAAGGCAAAATTGCTATTGCTGGTTAAGCCGAGCTCAGCATATTCTGTCCCAGCTCTATAAAATGTATGACCCAGCAAGGGAATCATTATGCTTCTAGACTAGTCTGGTCAGAGTAGTCTTCAGGTTTGGTTTGAGTACTTTTCTCAAAATAAGGTGATTAATTGAACAGATACAGAATATAACAGGATAATATAATATGATATTAGACTAAAATGTATAAAATTACAACAAGCTAAGCAAACTTCTTAGGGTAAATGAAAACAACATGTGTAAAACATGTGTATGCAAGCAATTGTAGTCTGTGCCACTAAGGGCCAGGTTTAAGAGATTATTTTAAAGGAGAGGACAGATTCAGGGCTTAAAGACTATAGAGGGGTCTTTAGGAGGTACCACCTATATAAAACAAAAATATAAAAGTCAAACTCACAGTTGCATCCCAGTGGAAGTCTGGACAAAATATTGTGAATTTCAGTGGAGTATATCAGGCTCAACCTTGTGGAAAGCATTTGGATGAAAGAGTCTGAGCAGATATTTTATCATACCTATCAGAAGTATCACCACTCAGGCCCTTTCAACTGCTGAAGGAACTGTGGCTCCCAGGAAGCAAATCACTACCAGTTGTTCAAAGCCTGTCCAAAAGTAAACACTTTTTGGCGTAAGACACAGAATTAGTCAAGACAAAAATGACTTTCAGCCTTTTTGGGCTTCTAAAAATATTAGAACAAAATACTTATTTGGAATGCAGAGTGTAGCTGCTAGAAAAGCAATCAGGCTTAAGCCTGATTTAAAGAAGACTGGGCACCCTAGAGGACACTTTATCACATTTTGTCCACTGGAAGGGCACACTAGAGGGCACTTGAAAACTATTTTCTGTCTTGTCTACATGAACACTTGCCACAAAGTGGTGCTGTGGAGTCCTGTGTTGGACTCCTCTCTGACTGAGTGTGCAATTAGAAGGGCATTTTGTTGCCAACCTCGACACTCACAAGGTGCCTATATATAGGACTGTTAATATCCAAACAGACTATTTATAGAGAAAATTATATTTTGCCAGGACACTACTGTAATTAATAATAACTGCTTACAAAAGATCAAATGAAAAAATAAAACTGGCTTCTTAGCTTTTAGAAAGTTCTTTTTGAAGATGTATTAAATCTCCAGGTACATTACTCCACGGTACTTCATGCATCATATAATCAATTCTAGTAACAGAAATAGAAATAAAACTACAGTTAGATAACCAGACAATGTATCAGATGACCTAATTCTTCACTTCTCTTCTTGTCATGTCGACCCTTGTCTCCCTCTTTCTCTTAATGCTAATATTTGGTTGGCACTCCATTTGACAATGAATCCATTGACCCAGAGATATTCTGGAGTAGGTACATGAATATTTGCAAGTTTCTTAGGAGGCATGGAAGCTTGTGGAGGTGTGTCAAAAATAATAACATGAAGGAATTATTCTAAAATGTGACCATTAAAACAAGACAGGAACAGAAAGATGGGTTCCTACAGCCAGCAAAGAAAAGCTCATAGAATAACTCTATAATACATACAGAAATAGAAAAGGACACAGACAGTGCAATATAAAGTGTATTGCTCCAGAGGCAACAGGGACCCAGACAACAAAGGGTAGATTTTCCTTTATGTAGGACCCCAGGTGGTCAGCAGCAAGACCGAAAATCTTTCACTTACTATGGCATCTGTGTGTATGATGTGATCATATAGCAGATGAGTACTGAGGGGTCAAGGCTAGACCCCTAGGAAGGGACCCAACCCCCTGGTTGGGAACCACCGCTCTATGTTAGACTCTGTACTGTTTTCTGGGAATCAATTCATTTTATATCTTAAGATTTTGTTGGTTAGAAAAAGCAGAATTTATATAATTGTGAATTTAAATAGATGCATAAGACCTTGTCTTGTGCTACATACGAGATTATGACACATTTCTTATGTATTTTTATTAACCTTCAAATATACCAAACTTTGCAATTACTGGTGTGGTAGAAAACATAGGTAGATTCGAGGACATGGATGTCCTCCATGTGTTTCTAGGGAATTTGGAGGTTTTAACAACCTGAGGAGAAGTTTATATTCTATAATTACACCTAAAATAAACATGTGACTTTTAAATAAATTGCTGCATTCTGGAGACATCTTTGAAACAACATTAATAACCATCATGTCTAAAAAAATATGCTGATGTTTTTGGTCTGTAGTAAAAATATATTTTATATTTGGGACAGAGAGGCTGGGGGGTTGTGCTGAGGGACTTTGGACTCATGACTTCAGTATTTCCAAAATGCTGGCCACAACAAGAACTTTAAAATCATTTCACTTGAAAACAAACTGTTTCATGCATTCATGCTGCACTGGAGATGCTCTCAAAATGAAAAAAAAAAATACAATCACAAAAGAGAAGACATGCATTGCCTTTTATTGTTCATTGACCTTTGCATAGTCTCCAGTATATTATTATAGCTCTGATTTCACATGTCCACCATGTCCAGTCATGATGCTTCAGAGAAACTGAAAATGTGACAATCTACTGTCAGGTTAGAGTTATGTAGGGAGTAAAGGTGCTAACCCTCACATTGAAACACAAACTGGCATGGCCTTAATATACACACATATGCTTAACCTTAAACTTGCACAAGGCACTTGTACATACTCTACTTTCCCTCACTTTCAGTCGGTACCCCAAACACACCCCAGAGTCCTCTGAGGTTATCTTGTAGCTGAGTTCTGTTCCATTCGTTCTTTGCTACTAAATATAGTCTTCTGAACCATCTGCGAGAATGATTTTGTTCCCTTAATATCCCCATCAGCACTTTCAGCTGGCCAACAGAGACTTATCCCCCGCCTTAATGC